AACCAGACAATAGAAGTGTACTAAACTACTAATAGAGGGGCCGACAATGAGTGTGGTCTAAATTAATTAAATGTAAATGGGACGTCACCTAAGTCACGTATGGAATTTTATCATTTTACATTAAGTCGCGTATGAGTGTGGTGTTCTTAAATTTTCAGTCTTTTTCACATGTGAACATATAATGAAAAGACATAACTTGTTATTTATTATAGTTACATAACAACCTGTAAAGATAACTCTAATTATTTATTTTTTATCAATATATTATTTAATTTATTCATTTATTTTTTCTTTTTATCAATTTTTGAAATCATGTTGAAGTTTCTACGGTTATTATTTGGGTCATCATCATCTTCATTAATTTCAAGTCCGTAGCAGCCCAAGGTACAGATCCAAAACTACAAAAATCTTCTTCGTTTGATGATACAGTTTTTTGGAAAATAAAAGGAATAAATAGTCCTTTTATAATAATAATTATTGTATGTATTGTTTTAATTTTAGTTGTAGTTTTTTTTTTATTATTTGGTTAAGACGTGTGCATGTGGCTGGTTTAGGATTAGCACCACCAGCTATTACACAAGGACTTGATCCACAGATAGTAAAGTCATTTCCTGTGCTTACCTTTCCTATTGATGGAGAGGTTGGTTTTGATATCACTGACTTTCACATACGCTTGGAGGAGTTCCTCCAAGGGGACAATGTACAAGTGCTCCCTGCTTGCAGGCATATTTATCATATTGATTGTATCCAGACTTGGTTAACTAGAGATACTCAATGCCCTGACTGCTGTTATAACTATGCAACACGAGAATTGGAAAACATGCCACCTGATTTACCTTAAATTGTGCTTCTTACTCAAGGTAAATCATAGGGCATCTTTCCAATTACTATGTTAAATAGTTATAACAATAGTCAGGACAACGAGAGTCTCTAGAAGTTAGTTAGACTTGGATATATTCAATGTCACAAATACGCTTGCAAATGGGAGCACTTGTACACTTTCTCTGTTCCTAAACTCCTTCAAACATATATGATAGTCAATAGTTACAAAACCAACCCCTCTGATGATCAGTAAAAAAGGTAAACATAAGAAATGACTTCATTATTCCTATGCAATAACTAAGTAAAATACCACACAACTATTGCTATAATAGGGCCAACTGCATGTACCTTCTTAGTAAGGTTATTGATGTAATTTCACTGTACTTGTGCATTTTTATTAATCAACATATTTCCTTTTGGCTGATTAAAAAAAGGGCCAATTTGTTTCTTGTGTTGTTTGTTTACAATTGATGGGTGTTTTTATTATTTGCTTCCTCAAAATAAAAATATACAGTGTATTCAATCCTTGCTTTAGAAATGTGCAATCAAAAATAAGAAACAAGCCTAGAACTTTGCTTTTCAAAAATCTGAAAGAGGGCCCAATTCTAGAACAAAATTGTGATGCATTAGAAATTACATTTCCATCTATTAGTGCAAAATGCATCAGTGATGTCACCACTGCCCGATTTTTGCTATCATCGTGGAAGATCAGAGATAGACTAGTACCCTAACAAAGATTCATTCAAATGTTTCCTGCACCAGTAAATAAAATTTTAAAATTAAAAAAAAAAAGCAAGGTAACAATCGCATAACAATAAATACAAGCATTATAGTCACGATTATTACAATAGACAGAAACAAAAATAGGATCTGTAGACAAGGCAGTATCAAAAAGGAGAATCAAATAACTAATACTTGCAATACACCTAAACATGTAAGGATCCATAAAACATAATACATATTGATTTGGTGGTTCAATTGAATAGAAGAAGCAAATATAAATGATAACCTAACCTCTCTGTAAGGTGGGATTTTTTGTTCAAAATAATGGCTGCTATGGAGTTTCCAATTAGGTTTATTTTTCAGGTTATTCAGTGTGTGTCCACAGTTAGTTATTCCATTGTGTTAGTTATTCCATTGTGTTGAATGGAGAATTGGAAGGTTATTTCAAGGGAGAAGAAGGTTTAAGGCAAAGGGATCCAATTTCCCTTCATCCTTTTCTTTTAGTTATGTGCTCTTCTTAAGTATAATTTGACTCACGGTCAGTTCACTTTCCATCCTAAGTGCCAATCTTTGGGTATCAGTCACTTAGCCTTTGCGGATGATCTTTTTGTTATGTGTGGGGCTGATATTCAGTTATTCAGAATTATAAATGACATTTTACATCAGTTCCATTTATGGTCTAGACTTCAACCTAATCTACAGAAGAGTGTTGTGTTCTTTGCTGAATTTCTTCTATTTTAAAAGCTGATTTACTGATTGTTCTTCCAATTCTAGAGGGTCTATTAACTGTCAAGTACTTGGGTGTGCCTCTTATTTCCACAAGATTGAGGTATGGGGATTATCTTCAAGTGAAGGACAGAATACGCTCTAGGATTCAATTGTGGGCAAATAAGCTCTTGTCATATGGGGGAAGCAACTTATTCAAATAGTATTGTTTAGTGTATATATCTATTGGAGTTCCCCTTTTATTTTACCTCAAAGAACTCTAAATGAGGTGGAAAGTTTGATTAGAGCCTTTTTATGGTCCGGTTCTGAGCTTAAGCAAACAGGGGCCAAAGTTAAATGGGAGAGTATTTGTGTTCCTAAACAAGGAGGGGGGGTTAGGTTTTAGATCGCTGAAAAAAGCATGCAACTTATTCAAATAGTATTGTTTAGTGTATAAATCTATTAGAGTTCCCTTTTCATTTTACCTCAAAGAACTCTAAAGGAGGTGGAAAGTTTGATTAGAGCCTTTTTATGGTCCGGTTCTGAGCTTAAGCAAACAGGGGCCAAAGTTAAGTGGGAGAGTATTTGTGTTCCTAAACAAGGAGGGGGGGTTAGGTTTTAGATCGCTGAAATTTTGGAATAAAGTCAATATGATTAAACACCTTTGGGATATAAGTATGAAGGCTGATTCACTTTGAGTTGAATGGATACATTCCTATATTTTAAAGGATCAATGCTTTTGGTTTATTAATGTCCAAATGATTCCTCATGCACTATAAGGAAGATATTCAAGCTTTAGAGAGATTGGGCAGCCTCTTATTCATTACAGAATAGGGGATGATAGTCCCACCTTCTTATGGCTTGATAACTGGCATCCCGTGGGGCCTCTTTATCAACATTTTGAAGTAGAATTGTGTAGAATATTGGTAGAGCTCTTTATGTGAATGTAAGATGCTGGCATTTGCCTAGATTAAGAATTAAAGCAATTCAGCAAGTTATTGCTTTAACACCTCATACCCTTATTCCTAATATGCACAGATCTGATAAAGCTGTTTAGTTACCTTCAAAGAGTGGTAGCTACTCCTCTAAATCTGCTTGGGAAGCTTTGAGGCCATCTAGAGCAATGGTCCCATGGTGTTCTATTGTTTGGTTTAAAGGAAATGTGTCTAAATGGGCTTTTGTGCATTGGCCGATTTGTTTACAAAAATTAGCTACCAATGATGGTTTATTGCATTGGGGAATGGAGGTGGATCCTGCGTGCAGTTTGTGTCGATCTGTAAATGAATCTCATGAGCATTTGTTCTACTCTAGTCCTTTTACTGGGAAATACTATGTTCAAACTTTCCTTGGCTTGCACTTTATATCATGTATGATTGGAGAGGAATAGGAGAATTTTTACTTAGTCTGTTAGTCACAAGCAAGTGATAGTGGCTGGAATAGTTAAGGAAGTTAGAGCTAGAGCTTGTTCTTTCAAGAGAGTTAAGAATTCTTTGCAAAATTGGCAAATCTGTATGGACTGGGGGCTGCCTTGTTCCATTCTGCATGCCTGATAAATAGATTTTCTAGCTTTTTTTTTTTTGTTTTGTTGTTTTGTTTTGGTGTTGATCTGTGTTTTTTTGTTTCTAGTGTGCAGGGGTAGGTCCTTGTTTCTTGTTTTCTTTGTGTTTTGTGTGGAATAAAATTTGAAGTCACCAAAAAAAAAATACCTAACCTCTCTGATATGAAAAAACTACTAATTCTACTAACCCAATTCAATAAAGATACAACTTTCAATAATGAACAATCCAAACCCTAAGATTTGGATCCGTAAAAAAATCTGAAGTTACCTGGTTTAGAAACTTAAAAAATTGTGCAGCATCCCCAAATTTCATTGTTCCTATATGTCCTAGGTTGAAAGTAGGCTTTCAATCTCCAATCTTTATATTTATGATCAAAGTTTCCAATTATTCATCGTCATTACTTTAGGATATGACGTTCTAGGTTAACTATGCTTGTCAGATGTGATCATCTCACATATTCACCTCTCTACTTGTTGCTTATGAATTTAACCTTTATGTTAACCTATGGAGCATCATAACCGTGATAAGCCTATTGATATTGCATATACTTGAGGTAAAGATGGGCTATGTTACATGAACACTAGAAATTAAATAAGGTTCCAACAAGAGAATTCATGATACCTAGACAGTTACTCCAAAAAAATGACTGCAAAAACAAGCCTTTGGAGAATTTAGATTTTGGACATTTAGAGGCCTTCATCTACATAGTTAAGAATACTCACTCTATCTATGTGACTAATATACATATAGCCTATAGGTGTCCAAATCAAGAAGGGAAATATATTATTGAACTAAACTGATAATAGATAAAAATGAAACATGAAGTAATGTTCTTGAGTTACTACTTTTAAACTAGCAAACAGTAAGAACCCTATGATCAGTACCGATGCTACTTTTAAACCATAATTCTAGCAACTAAGCCTTATGCAATTATACAGAAGATACTAGTATCAATATTACTAAATAAATAGCCAAGTAGACAGATAAGCAAACTTGCTACGAAAAAGAGTCCCTCCAACATTGAGTTTGTCCTATCTTCTTCTTCTTCATCTTCTTTTTCTTCTTCCTCTGATATTTGAACTTGCATTTGACAAGAACAAATAACATGAATAAAATGCCATATTGCAAATTTCATGATTAACTATTTACTCACTTCCTCGGATGAATGATGGCAATTAAATGATGAGGTATGCATGGGATTGTTGTTGTGAATGCACATGTGCAGTAGTTGGTGCAACAAGCCCACCCATGGCCTATTGAGACTCCAACTACTCTATTCGTGCTTGTTGAGCTTGGATTGTACCTTGCATCTGACTAAACATAGCATCTATCATCTCCTTCACTTGCATCTCCATTTGTACTTTATGTTGGTTAAGTTGCTCTTGGACTTGCGTCTGGATGAGATGAGCCTGCTCTTGTGACTGCCTAAATCCACCTCCAAAGACATTTGTTAGAGAAGGACCAAATCCATGTGTTCGAACACGACCAGGTCGATCAAGCCCTAGAACCTGTGTGAAGATCTCCTCATCTATAGCACTGGATTGTGCTCCAAGCTCCTTCATTTGTGTTTGCAATTGTTAGTCAATGCCACCAATAAAATTTATGTTAACAAAACTAATAAGAGTATCAAGTCTGCAACGCCCTCAAAATAAACCCATAACATCATATATTCACGATAAGGAAAAGAGATTTCATATTACAATCATCAGAGTATTCTTACAAAAGATATTACATGTTGACAACAAAAGTAAGTGCCCTATAGGCTTACAACTTTTCAAGTCAACACTTGGTTACAAAAGGGAGAGTACTAACTCTACACAAAGTAAGCCCTTGGCTTGATATACATGTAATACAACAAAAACGACAAAAAGGGTCTAACAGCCTCAAGCCTCCCAAGCTACGTCCTTGGAGGTGGCATAGCACCTGTACCTGAAAATGATGTCCCATATAGGGTGAGCCAACGTCCAGTAGAGATGTGCTAAACATAACATGAGCAATAACTAAAACATGAACATTTGATAAATGTTTAACTCACATAAATCAATTCATAATTCCTTTCAATTACATGACCAATATGTCCATGTTTCATTTCATTTTCCATTACTTATCCAGTTCTCAATTTATGAATAAGGCTCAGAACTTGTCCAATAATTTAATGAGACTATAGCTCATCTCAACAATACTTCCATAATTCACAATAGATACACATACTTGCTGTATCAATAGCACATTCAAACACTTCCATACTTCACAATAGATACACATATTTGCTGTATCAATGGAGTCCATCCCCTATCTCCTCCCAATTAATACCCGGTTTAGGAGTCCATCCCTTATCTCCTCCTAAATCGTGGAGTACATCCCCTATCTTCTCCCATACAACACAATGTATATAAACACATATCATATATATAATCAATCAATACATAAATTTGATGTATTATTCCAACCGTCATATTCAATGACATATTCAATTGATTAGTTTTAATTCACGTAATCATCATGCAATGTCTACAACAATCAAGACTATCCTCCACCGATAACCTAAAGTAATTATTTCTAAACAGATAATAATTATATCGACAGATAATTTGTCAACAATTTCCAAGGCGAGTGATTAATAATTCCAACTCCACCATTCTATCTCATAATGAACCAATTACATTATTTCCAACTCAATTTCATATTCCCATAATAAATGTCATTAATTACACTAATGACCCAAATATACCCAAACATGACATTTTTTCCATTTTTCTCAATATTGACCCTAAGGTCCAAATATTATCGACAACATTAATAACCTCCTTTTTAGACCCAAAGCACACATGTTTGAATCAAAAGAACAAAAACCCCTCTTTCCAATATAACACATCTCAAACCCTAACTTCCTAAAACCAAACCATTTATACAAAAAGCTCAACATTTAGGTTAAAGCCCATAAAGATGAGTAGGAATCCCTACCTCAAGAGATGAGACTCAAAGGAGATGATGAAGAAATCTCGGAATGCTCCAAAACCCACGATTTTCGGATTGATAGGAAGCCCAAGCCAAGCTCTACACTCTTTGCAAAGACACTAAGGGAGTAGATCACTCAAGCTAGATCAATCCCTACAGAGAAGGTATATTCTAGAGAGAGGAGCTCTCAAAAGAGGGTTTAGAAAAGTAAGAGAGAGAAAGGAAATGTGAAAAGTGATTCAAAATCATCCAGCTGCTATCTGATATACGACTATCCCGCTCGAGCGGAGAATAGGATGCTCGAGCGTCAAACACAAGAAACTAGACCCGCTCGAGCGCAAAAAGACACGCTCGAGCGCCAATACACAAAAACAAAATACACCCGCTCGAGCGCAAAGGAAAGCCCACTCGAGCGTCGATTACCACCTTCTAGTATTTTTACAGACTTTGAAAACCCGCTCGAGCACCAAGAGGCCCGCTCGAGTGCGACACGCTCGAGCGTAAGGAAATCCGCTTGAGCGTGAAAAATGCACATGCAGAAGTTTTGCAGAGGCACAAAATACTGAAAGTGTGTAAACTCCGCTCAAGCGCAAAGGGACCCGCTCGAGCGGACCACCAAAAATCTGGGCAACAAGGACTGGGATTAAAGCTCAACCAACCTGTTCGAAACACGCCCAATACATCTTAAAACTCAAATATATGGAATTAAAGGATGACAACAATATATATACAACAACCAACTCCATGGAACCTAAGTCCAGATACAACAATCAAAGAAGGAAGAACCAGGATCACTATAACCTCCCCCCTTAAGGAATTTCGTCCCCGAAATTAAGTACAAGTTTTTCAAAAACATGATTTCTCAATTACCAACATTATTACAATGCCAAATTCAACAACTTGACCCATTACCGGTCATTACATCTCTATTCAAGAGGCAAACTTCCATATAGTCTCCAACATGCATTATCAACATGTATCTCAAATCATATTCAATGTCAACAATACATTTGCATTTCTAAAACATCATTAACATGTACAATGTTAAAATTAACTTTCATTTTAAGGCAAGTTCCAAAATATATTTCCATAAACTAAAACATTTACAATGTTTTACAACTTAAGACATATTCCACGCTCTTAAAGTTTATCAATATTACAAAATTCCCAATACATGTTTAAACATTATCAAACAAGTCCGGATACTTTTCACGGACGTCCAACTCACGTTCCCAAGTGGCTTCTTCCACTCCGTGATGTTTCCACAAAACTTTTACCAAAGGAATGGTCTTGCCTCGCAAGACTTGATCCCGCCTATCCAAAACCCGAACCAGTCTCTCATCATACGAGATATCCTCGCCAACCTCCAAGTCGGTCCAATCGAACACATGGGATGGATCCGGCTCGTACTTCCGAAGCATACTAACATGAAATACATTATGCACCCCGAACAACTGCAACGGCAAAGCCAATCGATAGGCAACCTCGCCAATCCTCTCAAGGATCTCAAAAGGGCCTATAAACTGAGGGAACAACTTCCCACTCTTCCCAAACCTCATCAAACCACGCCTGGGTGATATCTTCAGAAAAACATGATCACCCGCCTCAAATGCCAAAGGCCTCCTCCTACGGTCGGCATAACTCTTTTGGGGACTCTGGGCTGTAACAAGCCTCCTACGGATAAGCTCAACTTTCTCCGTCGTTTCCCTTACCAACTCCGGGCCCAATAAAGGTGCCTCACCCACCTCGGCCTAGCAAACTGGAGACCTACAAGGTTGACCATACAAGGCCTCAAATGGTGCCATACCGATACTCGACTGAAAACTGTTGTTGTAGGCAAACTCCACCAAGGGCAAGTGCCTCTCCCATGACCCACTAAAGTCAAGGACACAACCTCGAAGCATATCCTCAAGGATCTGAATAGTACGCTAGGACTGCCCGTCAGTCTGAGGATGATAAGCCGTGCTAAAGGTCAATCTAGTGCCCAAGGCACTCTGCAAACTCTGCCACAACCTAGCAGTAAAACGTGGATCTCTATCTGAGACGATCGTTACTGGGACTCCGTGCAACCTCACTATGTCCCGAATATACAAATCGGCAAGATGATCTACCGAATCTCTTACGCGCATAGGGATAAAGTGCCCCGACTTAGTCAACCAGTCTACAACCACCCAAATAGCATCACTACCCCGCTGAGTCCTCGGAAGACCTACAACGAAGTCCATAGTGACATGCTCCCACTTCCACTCGGCAATAGGCAAGGGTTGTAACAAACCCGCTGGCCTCTGATGCTCGGCCTTCACTTGCTGACAAGTAAGGCACCTCGATACGAAGACTGCCACATCCTTCTTCATACCCCGCCACCAAAACTGACGACCCAAATCACGATACATCTTGGTGCCTCCCTGATGCACTGCAAGGCGTGAATGGTGAAACTCTCGGAGTACCTCCTCTCGGCAAGACTCCGGTACAAATAGACGATATCAGTATCTCACACTCAAGTCGGGATACACCGTCAAACCCTTCTCAACTTTCCCACTGGAGATCTTCTCTCAGAGGGATTCTACCTCAAGGTCACCTCCATGTGCCTCTAACACTCGAGTCACAAGTATAGGCTGCGCAATAACAGAAAACAAGGCCGCAACCTCGACGGATTCGCCCAAAAGCAAATCGAACTCGCCAAGTGCACCCAACATCTCCCATTCCCGGATGGCAATACAAGCTACATCGCTAATGGATTTCCTACTAAGGGCATCGGCCACAACATTGGCCTTTTCCGGGTGATAGTGCAACTCAAAGTCATATTCCTCAATGAACTCCATCCACCTTTGTTGCCTCAAATTCAAGTCCTTCTGAGTAAACAGGTACTTCAAACTCTTATGATCCGAGAATACCTCGAATCTCTCACCATAAAGGTAGTGCCTCCAAATCTTCAAGGCAAAAATTACTGCTGCTAACTCTAGGTCATGTGTAGGGTAATTCCTCTCGTGTATTTTCAACTGACGTGAGCCATAGGCTACTACTTTCCCCTCTTGCATCAACACACAACCCAAACCCTCTCGTGAGGCATCACAATAAACCGCATAACCCAACCCTCTCTGCGGGATAATCAAAACCGGAGCGGTGGTCAATCTAACTTTCAACTCTTGGAATGACTTTTCACAAGCCTCACTCCATACAAATTTGAACCCTTTCCGCATCAATCTAGTCAACGACAAAGCTAGTCTGGAGAAATCCTTCACAAACCGGCAGTAATACCCAGCTAATCTCAGAAAACTGTTGATCTCAAGAACACTCTTAGGCTGCGCCCAATCTTGCACTGCCTCAATCTTGGATGTATCAACAGACACCCCTTCTCCGGAAACCATATGGCCTAAGAACTTGACCTCTCCTAGCCATAACTCACACTTCCCAAACTTGGCATACAGCCTATGGGCTCTACGCAACTCAAGCACCACTCTCAAGTGTTCCTCGTGCTCCTCCTCCGACGGCGAATAAATCAGAATGTCGTCCACGAAAACGACTACAAAACGATCTAAGAATTCCCGGAAGATCCAGTTCATCAAATCCATAAACACTGCCAGTGCATTGGTGAGCC